AAAAAAAAAAAAAAAAAAACAGGGAACATCAACACAGAAAGAAACCTTGCCCTGCGTTTGGTGCACCGATTCTTTCATCCCTACCTTTTTTCCCAAACGTAAGGGATGGCCAGTATAGCTATATATAGGGTACGGAAATTGGGCAAAGAAATGCAAACTCTAATGGCCATGCATTATGTCGGGAGGAAGACCGCAGTACTCAGTCCTCATCATGATAATTCTACTGAGCTATGGAGGATCATCGCCGGAGACGAAACCCGTTTTTTTTTAATTTAAGCAGCATCCTTGCTAGAAGGAGAGGTGATAAGAGCACCCCCCCCTCCGAGCAACAGACCTGGATGCTCAAATCTATTGGTGGGGACCAGCACCTGCTGGAAAACGGGTCCAGCGTTCCCGTGCACATCTGAAGTCCTGCCAGCATTGATTGCCCTGTTACGGGGGGGGATTAACTGTGCAGAGAAAAAAAAAAATGTGGCTTGAGGATAGCAACAAGCTTTTGGGCATGAAGCCGCCTCTTCGGCCCCAAGTCCTGCCAGCATTGATTGCCCTGGTACCAGACCGCCAATAGATAACACTCATGTTCCAACTGGCCGGAGGTGAAGTTAGTTTTTTTCGTTCTTTTTTCGGTTCTGACATTTTTTGCGGTTGGTTGTTTCTGTCATTTTTTTTCCAGGTGTATGACCTGGAGACAACTTACCTCAATGACTCAAGTCAGTGTGGAAATGTTTTGAAGGGGTTCGATGGATTTCTGTCTTCCAACAAAACAGCGAGCAAGTACGTTTGACGGCAGAGAGATATAGGATTAGATGCATGTGCTTCTTCCACCTGTTTCTGTGTTGTCTTTCCTGCCGTCCTCTCCCGTTCGCTCTTCTTCCTCCCCTCTGCTTTCCCTTCTCTGCCCTTTTCTCCCTCCCCTTCTCTCCTCCCCTTTTCTGTCCTGTACTTGACCTTCCTCTTCTCTCCTTTCCTTTCCCTGCTTCCTATGCTCTCCCCTCGCCTGAACAACATCCTCTTCACTTGTTTGATTGCCTCACTCCTCTCCACCTCCTCTCTTCCTCTTCTCTCCTTTCCCTGCTTCCTTGGCTCTCCCCTCGCGCCTGAACAACATCATCTTCGCTTCTTTGATTGCCTCACTCCTCTCCACCTCCTCTCCACCTCCTCTCCACCTCCTCTCCACCTTACCTCCACCTTACCTCCACCTCATTTCCACCGCATATCAACGTCATCTTCGTTTCATTTCCGTCTCACCTTGTCATGATTGCAATGGTGAGGTGGCTACCGAAGCGCATTGCTGTGCTAGAGCACGGTCCCAAACGTTGGCGCTCTGAGCTGCTTTAGAGATCAGATAAAAAATTGTTGCACCATGGAGGAGCCCACAGTAAAGCTTGCACAGCTGAACAAAGGACCCTGCACTGGCTCTACAGAGTGGATGATTAGGGGCTCTGGTGTGTGACTATGGACGTCATTTGCGTTATAACTACTATTGAAAGGCCGTGGACAGAGAAGTTTGTTCATACAACACATCTGGAATGTGCCACTGTGCTGCATACCTTACCAAATCAGGTGGAATCCATCCCAAGCATCAGCAAAGCAGCCAAGAGCTTGAATTGCCAGCTATTGCTGTTGCTGTAAGTGTTGGCGGTACTGAAAGCCATTGCTGTCAGTGTTGGCGGTACTGAAAGCCATTGCTGTTGCCACTACTGTTGTACATATGCCTGATCACTGTAAAGGATGCTTGACGGAGAGTGCGCTATCGAAAAGAGTGAAATTGCTTTTGTTTTATCATTTATGTAGAGCGTGCGCCTCTGCCTTCAGTGATTTGAGATTTTAACAAATCTTCCAGTCACACTGTGACTGATTACAGTGCTGTTTAGTTATGTATTCATCTCAAACTCCTTCTCCTCCTCCTCCTCTTCTTCTCCTCCTCCTCCTCTTCTTCTCCTCCTCCTCCTCGTTGTTGTTGTTGTTGTTGTTGTTGTTGTTGTTGTTGTTGTTGTTGTTGTTGTTGTTGTTGTTGTTGTTAAGAGAGGGGGCAGCTCCTGACACCATTAGATTCAGAATCTCAACTCAGTAGCCGTTTACTGAGGGATGAAGAGTTCAAAGCCTCTGTTGGTACACGGATGACCCTTTTGTACTTGGCTCTGGGCAACGATTAGGTACATGGATGACCCTTTGTGTTGCTGCATGCTAACCGAGCAGTGCACCTGTGGACATATCGACCAAACGATCAGGAGCTCAAGTCCTTGTGTAACATGGATTTATAATTTTATATGCACGAGCTGAGTGGTACACTTGTGTGCATGTTGATCAAGCGGTCAGGAGTTCAAACCCTGTATAAGCGGGATGATGGACCTTTTATGCTCGCAGCTGCTAAATGGGAACACATGTACTCAGAGATCAAGGGGTCGGGTCAGATCCTGTTCGGAGATGGATGCGATTTCTGTGCCCGCAGTTGGGTTGGTTGATAATGTGTGCTGACATCGAATGACTGCATCAGTTTCAGCATATGCTTTTCGTGGAAAGGATTAATGGGCTAACTAGCAGACAAGATCACCGGTGACGACGCTTTGACTGCTGTGGCCCTCGTGTCTAGCAAACGTTGTGATAAAATGGATAAAAAGACTTGGAGGAGTGGTGAGGGTGGGGGATGCTGGTGGAATCCTTAAAAACAGCACATTATTCACACAGAGAGAGAGAGAGAGAGAGAGAGAGAGAGAGAGAGAGAGAGAGAGAGAGAGAGAGAGAGAGAGAGAGAGAGAGAGAGAGAGAGAGAGA